AAGGCGTGAGAAAGATGGTGGGGAATGGTGCTTCAGTTGATATCTGGAAGGATCCCTGGGTTCCTTCACTTCCAGACTTTCGAATTGACATTAGTAGTAGAGCAACTGACCAGGGACCGCATTTGGTGAGTGAACTCTTACAGGATGGTAGATGGGATGCTGCTACGCTGGAGAATCTGTTTTCGAGTATGGAAGCTAGTGCTATAAGAAAGACTCTGGTTTCAATGTTCAATGTGGGTGATAGGTGGTCTTGGACGCATACAAAAAATGGAGATTTCTCTGTTCGAAGTGCCTATAATCTGATTCCGAGTGAGAAAAAGCAGAATGTTGCCTCATCTTCACATAAGAGAATGAAAATTGATCCTGTCTGTCCTAGGTGTGGGGATGATGAGGAAACGGTGTTCCATTTACTTGTGAAGTGCTCATGTGTAAGTATTGTTTGGCTTCAATCCCCTCTTAGAATTCATGTAAGTGACTTTGATGGTGATAGTTTTAAACAATGGTGTTGTCATTTGGCCAAAGCTCGTAAGGATAAACGGTGGTGGAGTATTTTCTGGTGTACTTTATGGGGATTTGGTGCAGTAGGAATGCGTGGGTGTTCGATAAGAGAAGATGGGAGAGGGGGGAAATTATTCATAAAGCTCTGCAAATGGTAAATGAATGTGAGAAGGCTGAGATGAGTGGAGGGCATGACAGGGAGGAGAATGAGGACTTTTCTAAGTGGCAGAAACCAAGTCCTGGTATCTTCAAAATCAATTCGGATGCTACGATTTTTTATACTGATTGGGTTGGGTTAGGGGGAGTAGTTAGAGATATGGAGGGTGATGTGGTCTTAGCTACGTGCACAAAGGTAGAAGGAGGTAAGGACGTGGAAGTAGCAGAATGTCTAGCTTTAAGACATGCCATTCAAGTCTCCATGGATGCAGGCTATAGGAATTTGATAGCGGAGACCGACTGTCAGAGTGTTTTTAATGCTTTGAAGAAAGGGAGGGGAGATGATTCTACAATGGGCTTGATTATTAAGGATATTCTTCATATGGCTGCCTCTTGTGTGGCTTGCTCCTTTTCATGGGTTCGAAGAACTAGGAATCGAGTGGCTCACCATTTAGCTCGCTTAAGTAGTAGTTTTGATGACTATCGTGTATGGCTAGAGGATTTTCCTGATGGAATTCAGGCTTTTGTACTCTTTGACATTTGCAATTAATAAATTTGAGCAGTGCCCGTCAAAAAAAAAAAAAGTTGGTAGTGGACTAGAAACAATATGTCAAAAGGGCGCAATTTCAGGTTTACTTAGATCAGGGTTCGAATCCCCCTTGTAACATCATTCTTTTTTTTTTTTTTTTTTCTCGGGTGTTTTAATTTCTAGGTCCGCCGACCCTCCATCGTCTATTTCTTTCGAGATCATTCATTGAATCACTGCTTAGAGTTCACAGGTCAATCACAATACACATACACATTTGGAATGAAAATAATGGCTAGTCTTCATTAGAGAGTCAGTAATCAAAAGTGTACTACCTCCGTTTCTTATTATGTGCAATAAATGGGTATTATTTATGAGACATAAAATATTTCCTTTTTTTTTATACATCACTTTGACTTTTGCACCATTCACATACTGTGGTTAACTTTGTTTTTTCACCTCTATTGAATAAATAAATATTATTATTACTTGATAATAATATAATATATCATAAGATTAGTCATAAGTCTAGTTTCATAATATAAATTTGTTAAAATTTCAACCAATAGACAATTAAAGATATTAATGGTCAAAGTTGTGTCTCGACAAATATGTCGGTTAAACCGATGCATTAAAAAAAAACTAAGGGAGTATCTTTAAGGGTTTTTTTTTATTATGAAATATTTTAAAACACTCCAAATTAGAGAGTATAGGCCTGTTATGTTCCGCCTAAATTCAGTTTAGATCAACTTCAATCAGTTCAGTACGATTCCTAATTTCCTTCTCTCATAAACAATTCATTTCAGCTTTATTTAGTTTAGTTCGGTTCATCTCTGATCGATTCATTTTGTATTCAGTATATCGGAACAAACCCTAAATTAAAATTTCAAGAATGAAGAGAGTATTTTAAGAAGTGTATATTCCTATTAATTGAACTTATTTGAAATAATTTCAATTTAATCTATATTTATTTAGTATTTAAAAACTCAAACCAAAAAAACATATGTCATCATTTTATTACACTTCCCTATCTTCTTTTTCAACCCGATGTGCCACATGTCATCTTACATTTTTAATTTTTTATTACACTATTTGTCTTAACACTTTCATTAAACACTTCATCTTCATCTCCCCTCTTCAATTCATTCTTTTTGTTTTCTCTCTTTAATTTAAGTCCCTTCACCTTCTTTCTAATAAGCCTCATTTTGAATTAAAGTCCCAAAATTTTTTCTTCTTCAATAGTTCAATTATGTTTTCAGTTACATATCACACTCATAATTATTTATTAGTACTCAATATTTCCTTATTTATCTCTTAATAATGCAATTTTCGTGAACAACTCGTGCATTGCACGGGCTAGAAGGCTAGTTAAACTTAATTAACATTACCTCACAAATTCGAGATTCACCATCTACGTGTGTTTAAGAGTATAAAGATTCCCGTACATCCCCACAAAGACTTGTTCCATTATCATCATCCAAAAATAGATGAAATTTCTCATTTCAGAATACACTCTTTCTAACGCAACAAAAGGTGTCATAATGTCATACAGCAATTGTGTATTTATGTTTAATAAAATATAGTGGAAACAACTCAGTAGAAAACAACGCAACCGTAACAATTATCTTTTTCCTAATTTTGCTTCTTGTTTGTTTTTATGTCTTCTTACCACAATTTTCCTTTTCCTAATAAGACTCTTGTTTTTCTTTTTCTTTTTCTTTTTTTAATTAGTTTCCTAATAAAACTCTAAGAGTATCCATTAATATTTATTTTATCACTATTATAAAAATAGAAGTAATATCTTAGCAAAAGTAAGTACTATTGAAAATTTTAATTAAAAAGACTGAATCTTTTTTATATATTTAATATTGTTAAGGTGTTATAATTGATTTGGAAAATTCAAATTTCGTGGGAAGTTTGGAAGTGTTTTAATTTTGTGGTGTAGTTTTGTTTTTGTGGTTGCACACTTGCACGCCGCTAGAATGATATGTTTGAAAGGCGATAATTACTACGGAGTAGTAAGGATGGATATGACAATTAACAAAATTTATGGTCACAACTTTATTGCCATGTATTTCAAATACGTAGTACTATAGTTTCTTTGCTTATATTTTGTTTCAACTTATTAGGACCTATAAGGAAACGTATCAATGTCTTGAATGTTATTATTGTTAGTTTTATATAAAGTCGTTATCATCTCTCATATAGAATAATTATCATTGTCAATTTAACGGGTAGTTAATGTAAATAATTACTCCAATAGAAAACATGATACTTTGATATGAAACACTGGTAGGAAACTTTTTATCGATTTACGTGGCCAAAATAAATATGATATTGTTTTAGGTCAGAAACAATTATTGATAGGGAAGTATCTACAAATACTCCCTCCGTTTTGATTTAAGTGTCGGTTTAACTTTGACAATATCCATATACACTGCTTTGACCCTTATCAATTAAAGTGAGATACTTAAATAAAAATAGGGGGAGTACTAGCAAGTGGCAAATAATAACATTTAGATCTTAGAAATAATATTGTAGCGGGCTTTGAGCCCACTGGCTAATAATATCTTTTTATGGCTAATTTATACTTTTTTGGGCTCATTTAATAAAGGCCATGAGCAACCAATGAACCTAACAAATATCAACACTAGCTAGTACAAAAGTGTATAACCGTCTCGAATTTCTGTCATCTTTTAATTGATGGAATGATATTTTGTGAAATTATTTTCACACTTGAAATTTTGAATTCAACACTCCACTTTGTAACATGTGCAATAAACAAAACAGTGCTTTATAAAAGAGTGACGAAATAAATTTTTAATTATGAGTGGGAAATCAATTTTCGCTTTATTGGAAACACTTTCATAATAATCCCAATTGAATTAAATCAATTTGGGCTTTTGAATGCTTTAAAATTAAAACCCTATTTCCCCTAGTGTAGATTGTAAAACAATTCTGTTTCAAAGCTGCTATGAATGATAATGCGACGTGAATAATCAATTACTCCGTAACTTTTATTTTTATGATGTAAAGATAATCAATTAGCCTAATTAATTTAAACTAGCTTATTTGGTTAAAATTCAATATTCACTATAATTCTCTTGCTCATCTTTTGACCGCGATAATTTTGTTTTAGAGGTAAGGGGTACTAATCAAGATGTGGGATCAAACCCCATCTATATTATCTGCACTTTCTTTACACTAAAAAAATGCAATAATTTTATTTTTTGATAGTAACATTGAATATAGATGGAAGAAAATTGAAAAATAGACTCTAAAAAGGAAAATCGTAGCAATAATAAAAACGACTTGTACTTTCTTTAATTTACCTTTATTTGACTTTCTCTACAAAGTAAAATTAAATACTCATATTGAATATGTATTTATATCACAAAAGAAACGTGATTACCGGCGACTTACGGCGATATACTTATTAAGATAAGATTATAATATTGTATCTTTGCTCATAAAGTAGAAAATATCTGTATTATGGTTTTAGAAAACTGACCCACATAAACGTGGTGCACTGGTGTATACTGAAATGCCATTATGTTTTTTTGTGATAATTTACCAAGGATATAAACAATAAAAGTTGTGGCTCCTAGGCTAAAAATAATTTTACATCCAAACACGACAAATTAATTGAAGGTCTTGTGTTTCTTAGGTACGCGTATACTATTTCACTAATTTGTATTTCCTTGTCTCTAAATGTTCTTTTGAAAACAAGAACATTTAGAGACTATGGAAGTACTTCGTATTATGGTTTGTGTATGTTTGCACTATTTTGCTTAGATATCAAAATGAGTGGTGCATAAATTTTTACTTGTTAATATCTGTTCATATTATTGTTTTTTTTGATAAATGATGAAATAAAATTCATGTAAATACAAAGTATATGTAATTATTTGTAACGCATCTTGGTTAGTATTGCTGTCAAAGATGTTGGAAATTTGGCACATACTCATCTTGGTTTATACTGAGATGTGATAGCTTCTCATTTTTAATTAGGAAAAGTTTTTCTCAATTTTCTTATCAAGTTGAAAATAGCTAGTTTTCTAATAAATGATGGAAGAAGTTTTCCTTTTTTAGAAATTAAAGAATGTTACATTTTTCTCTATTTTTCCTCAATTCCGCCACCCTTTCCCTTATTCTAACTTTTTTTCCGTTATTATGTAACTTTTCTGGTAAGGAACCATACAAAAGAAAATGAAGTTTGAGACTTGATTCTCACTAAACAAAAATATTCAGTTCAAATGTTATCGTGTGAGTCGAACATACCCTTATTGGCTGGTAAAGATGGGCTTATTATTAAATGTTGTAACAAAAATTGCAGATTTAAAGGCTTAGGAAGAGATAACATTGGAGAAAACATGGAAATAGAAAGTCCAACAATGAGTCCAAAGATGAAGCAATATTTGTTGATACTAAATTGCATAATGTTAGCAATAGGAATAAGCGGCGGTCCACTTATTATGAGGTTGTACTACCTACATGGTGGCAAGAGTATTTGGCTTTCATCTTGCTTAGAAACTGGAGGATGGCCTATGATGATTGTTCCTCTCCTCGTTGCTTATTTTCAACGGCGCGCGGCTCATCCTGCGCAAGCCAAGCTCCTCTTCATCAAGCCTAGCACTTTTTGTTTTGCTGCTGTTGTTGGTAAGTTTTCCCCCTTCACCTTCCTTTTTGTAGGAATTAATGTCTTTGTTAATTGTTATGGTTTGGTCCTTTGTTATCTTGTGTAATTAAACTAGTTGATTTTGTTATTAATGTCATTTGGAAACGGGTTTATAGTTTTGGTTTGTGCAAATAAATGGGTATTGATTAGTTGGATTTTCAGTATTTGATACTTCTTTCGTCTCAATTTATTTGCTTAGTTGCACAAGTTTTACAAAAGTGAAAAAAAATTGGGTGGATGAGTGTCATGAGGTCATCTCAAGAGAATAAAAATTGAAAGAAATGAGACAAGTAAATCGAGACACCCTAAATAAGAAAATGAGACAAGTAAATTGAAACCCTTTAATAAGTAGGAAAATGAGACGAGTAAACCAATAAGTTAGCAATAATAATTAATTTTCGATTAATCTTTTACTCTAGAGATAGATATATACTAGACGATACTTATTTTCTTTGTTCATTTGCACTCTACTACTCTAGATGACATGATTTATCATTTAAAGGCATAATTAACTCAATTTACCATAATTATTTTGTATGTGTATACTCTTTTTAACCAAGTTTACATCCATGTAACAGGACTAGTAGCAGGGTCAGCAGACTACTTCTATGCATATGGAGTAAAACACATACCAGTCTCAACATCATCCTTAATCTTAGCAACCCAACTAGCCTTCACAGCAGTTTTTGCCTTCTTATTAGTCAGGCAAAAATTCACAGCATGTTCAATAAACGCGGTTGCTCTCCTAACCTTCGCAGCCATAGTCTTAGCCCTTCATGCTAGCAGTGATAAACCCGCGGGCGAATCAAGTGCTCAATATTACTTAGGGTTCTTCTTTACCCTAGCTTCTTCTGCCTTATTCGCTCTTATGCTTCCTATGATTGAACTCACTTATAAAAGAGCTAAACAAACTGTTAACTATGAATTGGTAATGGAGATTCAGCTTGTGCTATCATTCTCTGCTACTGCAATGTGCACTATTGGGATGCTTGCTAGCGGCGATTACAAGGTAATCAATCATTTTTTTTAATAGCCGTATTATTATCTGACCACTTAACTAACTTTTACTATCTCCGTTTTTTTAGTTTACACGTTTTGACTTTAGCACTATTCACACATATGCCTTTGCCTTTGACTGTGTTTTGTGATTTATCCATAATGAAAAACATAGTTACGTGGGATCTTGTTAGATTCGTGACGATATATAGTTTCACAATATCAACTTTTTATAATTTTTTTTCTTATTGGCAATTAAGATATTAATAGTTGAATTTGTGCATTGGAAAACGTGACAAAAAAAACGTGTCAACTAAAAAGAAAGGAAGTAGCTTTTATGCTTTTGTCTATTATAGTTGGTTTAAATAAAAATTGTCCTTTTATATTATGCAGGGTTATGTAGGAGAAGTGCAAGTGTACAAACTTGGGGTTGTCATGTACTTTGTTGTGCTAGTATGTAGTGCAATTCTATGGCAATTCTTCTACCTAGGGGCGGCCGGGGTCATATACTATGGCTCCTCTTTGTTGTCCGGAATTATTATAGCGGTTGCACTTCCGATCACGGAGATAGCCGCCGTGTTTTTCTACCATGAGAAGTTTCAAGTAGAGAAGGGGTTATCTCTTGCTCTTTCACTTTGGGGATTCATCTCTTATTTTTATGGTGAGGCTAAAGATATCAAGAAACAAAAAAAGAAGGAAAGAATCAATTTAGAATCTATAAATATAAATGCTGATATAGAATCATAGAATAGGATGTTATAGAATATTCATTTACTTAAAGTACCTAGTGTGTGAATTCTACTTGTTAAAATTAGATAATCTGGATTTGAGTTGGCCCAAATCAAGGAATATAATATTTTTCCTAAGATGAGGAAAAGCATATATATGATTTTAATTGTAATCTATTTGATTGTGTAATATCTGATCCTCTCAAATCATAAGTTTTTAAAAGTTGATTTTAGGGTTTATCATTCAATTATATTTATGATCAGATCATATGGAGGATTTGATCTGGTTTAATATGTATGGATTGAGAAGAGTAGAAAAAATACAACCATAAACATCCTAGCTAATGAATAGAAATGTAATTAGGAGAATAAATACAAAAATAACACTTTTGCATCTAAGTATTCTAATGGTATCGTCCAAAATATGTGATCAGGATTAATTAAAATAAATAATTTATTAATTAATTGCGCATCTTGTACGTAGTGCTAGTGTTAAATATAAAAAATTTTTGACAAGGAAATAATTGAAAATTAAAAATGTACTTATCATACAATTAATTTTTTTGAGGGGGCGTACTGCCGTACTTATCATACTTTACCTAAACCTGCTTTAAATTTAAAGAAAATAAATTATAACCATAAATAAATAAACCACAATAATAAACATTTCTTTTTAGGTACACACTTTAAATTTATGTGAAAAAAACTCCAAAAGAGCTGTTATCTTGCAAGAAAACAATTTATTTTATTTATTTTCTCCAACATTCAACCAACTTTGATGCCATATTTCAATTTTACATTATTACAATTTTAAATGACCAAAATAATTGAATTGAATTTTGCATACAAATTGATAAACATAACATGATCAAATGAAATTCAACCAAATAATCACAACTCAAGCATACAAACAACAGAAATTATCAACAACAAAAATTAAAGTCAAAGATTCACTCATTCAGGAAGTTTCTTCTTGCTTATTTAGTAGCTTCAACAACAATACTGTAGGCGGGAAAAACAGTTTGTACCACCTTAGTTGTAACTTCCTTCGGCCGCGCTTCCAGCCTTCCACTAGCAGGCTAGCAGCACCACCGCCATCGTAACCGATGGAGGTGGTTTATTCAGTTGTGGTAGCAGCTGGAGGTACATGTGTAGGCTTCTTCAATTTCTTAGCTACACAACATAGGCAAATGGCTAATGTAGCGCAAGGAAGAAGAAGCCACCTAAAGATGCACCCACTATTATTGCAGTGTTGTTAGTAGTATGTTGCCCTGGAGGTGAAGTGGGAGGTGGTGGTGAAGAGTAGATTGCGGGCTTTGGTGGAACTCCACCAACGCCGCTAGGCCCTCCACCTTGTGGTTGAGGTGGGGATACTGGAGGAACAATCACTCCATGTGGTGGTGGGGGTGCATGTTGGCCCCTTGGTGGTGGTGCTGATGGTGGTAATGATGTTGGCGGGGGGATTCCATGATTTTGTGGTGGTGAGGCTGAGGGCAAGGGTGGTGATGTGCCTTGACCGGGTGGTGATGGTTGTCGGGGTGATAGTGAAGGTGGTGATGGTTGTTGAGGGGATAGTGATGGTGGTGATGATGGGCTGAGTGGAGATGGTTGTGGGGGTGATAGTGACGGTGGTGATGTGCCATGACCGGGTGGTGATGGTTGTGGGGGTGATAGTGATGGTGGTGATGCACCATGTGGAGATGGTTGTGGGGGTGATCGTGGTGGTGGTGGGCCAAGTGGAGATGGTTGTGAGGGTGGTGGCGTGTCGTGTGGAGATGGGGGCCATAATGAGGGTGGTGATGGGTTGTGTGGATATGGGGGCAGTGGCGAAGGTGGTGGTGATACTGGTGGTACTCTAGTTATAGGTGGCCATGATGGTGGAGATGATTTATGATGTCCCGAATGTGGGGGACTACATGGAGGAGGAGGTGAGGTGTACATGTAATGATTTGGTGGTGGTGGTGAGACATACGTGTAATAGGACGTTGGAGGTGGTGTAGATGGGTTAGAGGAAAACTCATTTAAATAGCGCATGTTTTAGAAATTTAAACAGACAATTTAATCGATGATAGACTTGAAAAGGTTTGTGAGTTGTAACAAATTTTATGTATGACATAGAGTGAGTGAAGTTATATATGTTTGATGCCTTATAAAGTGATAGTTTAAGGAACTTGAGCCATTAGATATACACACATACACATAAAACTTTGACTTTTTTGTTATTTATATTTATATATTAAGGGCTTGTTCACATTTACTGAACTGAATTGATTGGAGCTGAACTAAACTGAGCTGAAATGAATATTTTATGAGAGAGGAAAATTAGGAGCTGAACTGAACTAATTGGAACTGATTGGAGCTAAACTAAACTGAACTTAAATTAAGTAAATATGAACGGAGTATATTAAATTTGATTTGTCTTGTAACCAATAAAAAAATCATGGGAAACAAATGTTATTATACAAAATGATGTTGGATATTCTCAATGAAGAAACTTTTTATATATTATTTTTTTTGTAATTTTTATTATACAATTAGATTTATGGATAAAATAAAGTTGTGAATTTGCAAGTGTATATGTAATACAAATTAAAGTGATGAATTTATTTCCAAAAAAATAACATGTTTATATATCAACATGGCGATTTATAAAATTGAGGTGAGATCGCGAGAGCATCAAATTAAAATCATGATAACATCATAAAAGTAGTTTTAAAATATAATTACTCCTATATATATATTCGACAAGTAACAAACTATTGGATTAGAAAACGTCTTAAAATATAAATACAAATAATTATCTGTAACTATCACATTTAGAAATTATTTTCTACAACCATTTTGTACTCTGTTGTTGGCTAGTGGTTGTGGTCTTATGGATACGTCCATTTAGAAGTCTTATAATCATTATTGTTTGTAATCATTATTGTTTGTTGAACTCATAATTAGTGTGATATTGGTCTTAGGACTCTTTAGATTAAAGGGCATAGTTAATTTCCACAATATTTATGGAAGTAGTATGTGATTATTAACTCACCATTGAAAATCTCCACCTCAAAATTTACTTCAAACTTAAAACCTAAAATAGCTGAGTCTTTCTTTTTATCCCATATATTCAACATCATATCCCCTGATACAAGGACTAAGCGTTTATAAGTATATATAGTGTTAAGTATGATTACAATAAAATGAACAAGAAGGTTTCACATCACTTCAAAAAAGATGTGAATTGCTACAATAGGCCAAATTCAGGTGTTTGACCAAAGTTCAAGGTAGAGGATTTGAGTCCAATAGCTTTGAGTTTGAGTGAACCACCAACTAGGTTCGACAAACACTACTTTCCACAAAATTACAAGCAATACTATATAGCTCCACTTTGGTTAAGCCTGAAAACTTTTCCCTGAAGAAGCCTTCAAACTTTTCAAGTACATTCTCGAAATTAACACCATCACCCAACAAACCTTTACTCGTTTTCATCTATATATAATCACTCCGCCAAACTTAAACTCATTCACCTAATTGAGATGGGTGCAAGGTAGACCTTTATTAGATCCTGGCTCACTAATCACATACAAGTAATAGGGGTCATGGTGATGAGCAAATGAGGTAACTTTAACGTTGTAAGTTACTTAAATAAGAAAAAGGGGTTACTCTCTTAAATATGTGGAATTATTCTTTTAATTTTTAAAACAAAAGAATGTGCGTTATTCGAATGAACAAAATGGGGTTACTTATTATTAAATTATTTGATTTTACTCGTATAATGAATTTGTGTTACTTCAATGAACAAGATAGGGTTACTCTTATGAAAAAATGAGACTACTCATACATTTAAATGAAGATTACTTTTATAAACCAATATGACTATATCGTGTGGCTAGCCACTTACAAGACTTACCTATTTTGTAGTTATATAAGAAGTACTATACATCTATATTATATAATAAGTATATTTTTTCCCTAGTATGTGCGTTAAATACTAATTATAAAGGTAAAAGCTAACGAGTGTCGCCGGGACGTTAGATAATTAAGCTGTGTTTGGTAAACAACTTATTTGAGCAAAATTAGCTTATTGACTATTAAATAAGCTAATTCAAAATGTTTGATGGGAAGCTTATTTGAAGAACTTATTCCACTAATTAAGCTCTTTTTGAAAAGACTTCTTTTAGGAGTTTTTTCAATTAGCTTATTCATTAATTATTGTGAAATGACACTTATACCTTCATTTAATTTAAAATCCTACCTAAACTACCTACCCCACAATTAGCTTATTTGGTTATTTCACATACTCAATCACTTTTAAGCTATTAGCTATTTACCAAACACTCTATACAATCAGCTATTAAAATAAGTTAGTCAAATCAATTAATACAATCAGCTAGTCAAAATCAGCTAATATAACCAGTTTTAGCTTTTAGCTATTCACCAAACACGGCCTAAGTCTTTACATGGTGTGGCGGCAATATGGCCACATTGATAATTTTACATTCTCTAAATTGATGTATCATTTGAGAAATTTATGACCAAATCATGGATTGATTATGTATTATTAATAATATTTAATAAATTGATATTATTCTATGTTTAGGCAAAGATTTTTCCAATTTTGAAAAAAAAAAAAAATTGTTCTAAAGCAATATTCGACCTTGCCGAATGCCCAGACCTCATAGTTGGAACTTGGAAGCATTACACATTTACACTACGATTTTCGTACGTATTTCTCTACATTTCTTCATCCATTTCAATTTCCCAGCCTTTTCAACCAAATTTTCACACTCTATTTCCCTCATTAACTTCTCTTTTAATTCCCCTTATTTGATGAATGATGAACAAAGAAGATTGAGAGCAAAATAATTCTGGGTAAATCAAACTTTCCCCATAAATTGAATTCAGAATCGCAAAAACCCAGAAATTGTCACTCGCTTTTAGGTAAATTGTTGTCTAAATTCTTATTTTTGTTGCCCCCTTAAAAGGGTTTTTCTTTTTTTGGTTCTTCATTTTTTTTATACTGAACAACTCAGAAAATTCTCAGATTTGGGGGTTTTGTTGAACCCACTAAACCCCTAATTGGAAAAACATTTTTTTGGGGTTCAATTGTTCATGATATTAGTGCATAACAATTAAATTAAAAATTTGGGGTTCAATTATTGTTCATAATAGTGGGTGATTAACAAATTTTTTTAAAAAAATTTAATTTATTTATTTTATTGTTAGGAGTAAGAAATGGGTAGGAGTCAGTGTGAGATGGATGTAGATGATGGTCCTGAGGAAGAACCTGAACTTGAAGAGAGTGATTCACCTGACCAAAATCAAACCAGCCCTCCTGCAAATGGGAATGGAAATATGAATGGAAATGGAAATGAAAATGAAAATGGGAATGGGAATGGGAGTGTCAATGGGACTGATAACTCGTCGAAGAGGGCGCGTGGTGGCGGTGGCGGCGGGGAAGAACATGAAGCAGGTGGAGCATCTGATAACAAGACCCAAAATGGTGTTGGTGGGGACCCTACAACGCCTCGGTCCTCCTCAGGGAGACCGTTGATAAGAACGTTTCATGATGCCAGTGGTGGGCGCTCTAGTAATGGTGCCAAGAGGCTTAAGGTAATTAAATCCTTGATTTGAATTGAATAATCAATTATTAGTACTTGGAAATTGGAAAGGTATATGGCATTATTGTTTTTGTTTTGTTATTATCGAATGTGGTTTAGGAAACAATCCCTTGTTTGAATTACTTGTAGATGATTGAAGAGGATGAGGAAGCCGGGACTAAAGAAGAACAAGCCGAGTTCATCAAAGAGCTTGAAGCCTTTTATAAGGAAAGATACATGGAATTTAAGCCCCACAAGTTTTATGGAGAGCCTCTAAATTGCCTTAAGTATGCTCCTTTACTTGTTTGCCTCTCACTCCAATTGCTTAATTAATAATTACTACTTGTTAAATATGAAGTATGTGAAACATGTCAGCTGACAAAGAAATTTCTTATTTCGGTGCTGCTTAGGTTGTGGAGAGCTGTGATTCAATTGGGTGGATATGACAGGGTATGATTCCTTTTGCAGATTCTTTGTTTCAAGTCTTATATATTGTCATTCTTAGTATATACTGTGCTTTCATGTATGTTTTAGCTCTTCAAGGGTTTGGCACTAACTTTCCGCTCTAGAGACTATAAAGTTTCTTAGTTGTTATCCCCTTGTACTTCTATTTGTGCTGTGTTGCATGATCTGGATGTTTTCTTGTTTTTTTACCCCATATTATACATGAATTTTACATCATATTATTGATGTGCAAGAATGATATGCTGGACCTTGTATTGCATTTGCGGTTTAAGTTTTTTTCCATTGCATGACGAAACAAACATTGCATATCATAACTTACAGAACTGATGTTAACTGTGCAACCAATTTAGAGTTATATAGGTTGGTGCAGGCTTATTACTGGCTGAAACAGCCTGAAAAAAAAAAAAATGAAAATCATGCAGCATCTATGTCAACGCGTTGCTTGACACTACTATAAAGTATGAATCTATGTTGCACAACTGTGACCATGATTGTAACCTTTACCAAAATGGGAAACCCTACGTCAAGTTAGTTTAACATTGTCATTTTTCTCAGCTTCCGCTTTGTTATGAACTGATTTTTGGGGTTTATATTTCTGATTTAATAATGCAACAATAAAAGATTAAAGCTTGGATATTGATTGAAAATGGCAAGGATTACAAAAGATAGGTTTAAATGTTTAATAGCTCAAGCTATTGGTCTCCAATAGTTAGTTTAGCTCACAACTCTCTAACAATGGCTTTGGGCCATAACTCTCTCAAGGGATCTCACCAACTTTCTGCCTACCATTTTCTTTCCCCTCCCTCTCTATTTATACCAAGGAATATTAACCTGGTAAACTAATATTATTAAAAATACCCAAACTACCCTTTTGTAGGTTAGCCTATTACACGCTTATAATGTAAGTGCAAGGGTTTGTAAGCTCTTGTTTGTTTGTAATGGTATAAGGCGAATGTAGATCTATTGATTGATTTCACATTCCTAGTTACATTAAATTGGATATCCTCTTTCATGAACAAAGGATTCATATAGAAAGTTTTTAAAGTCATTGCCATTTCTTTCACAGGTTACCACATACAAGCTGTGGCGGCAAGTTGGAGAATCTTTCCATCCGCCCAAGTAAGAAATGCCTTGTTTATCAATTTTTTGCTTGTATGTGCTGGAAAAGTCAGAAGTTAACAGTTTTTGAAGTGAATAAACTGCATTTTATTTTGGACTTTCTGTTTATTCATAATTCAGGGAGACTTGAATTTGTACAACGTCAGGCATATTATTCTTCTGTTTTTCTCTACATATAACTTATATAAATTATTTTCTTTGTTTCAGGACCTGCACTACAGTTTCTTGGACATTTCGAATTTTCTATGAGAAGGTAATGCCTTTGTAAAAAGATATGGCTATGATTCTCCTTTTTATCGTTCTTCTTGTGTGCTGTACTTCTGTGATTTACTGTATTGTGCGAAGTGCAATCTCGGTTGTATATTACTACCTCCGCTTCTTATTATTTGCAACAGAGAGGTATCATTTGTGAGACAAAAAAAATTCATTTGTTGCAAATAGTAAGAAACGGAGTTAGTATAACATTAATTGCGGATATGTTCTCAAGGATGAACTTATACATGGTTTGCATTCTGAAATTGAGTGTGTAATTGGGTACCCTCTTGTTGAACCAATTAAGTCTCAAAGCTAGAGGTAGAAAACTTTTCCTGAGGCAGCTAAGAAGGATTTAATCAACTTTTATACTTCAACTGAAATTCTTTTGGTACACATATAGTATAACTATATTTTATACTTAAATTACAATTTACAAATTGGTTTACTGACTCCATGTTGCTGTTTTAGCTGCTGTACAATTTACCAGAGATTTAATGGATTTATCGTTGCTTTTGCTTTCTGTACAGGCACTTCTGGAATATGAAAAACACAAAAGAGAAATTGGTGAGCTTGAATTTCCTGATGCAACAATGCCTGAGCCATCTGCTGAAAATGAGGTAGACTTCAAGATTATAAAATTTCTTATAAAGAGTGGTTGTGTAGTTGTGTACTTGTGTGTGTTTTTTTTTTCTTTTTCTTTTTCTTCTCATCTTACAAATTTCGCATTTAATCAAGTTGCTATGAGTTCAGTCTATATATTGCTAAGTCTTTTTACTTGGATCTTATGACCCTGACTTTGTGCTAATCATTCTGACAATATTTATAAAGCCTCTTATTGGGCTTTATATGTTTCTTTTCTTTCCTTCTCTTATTTATTTATTAATTTTTTTTTTTAACTTTTTGGTAGCATAGGTGCCTTAGCTTTCTTTTTCATCCCAAGTATCCTCAACTCCTTAAGTCAGAGGAGCAATCTCTAAGACAAAACTTACTTGGAAGGGAAACCGTAGAAGATCTAAATGTGTATCTCCGGGTAGTCTTAGATGGAAAGATGACACGTAAAAATAAAAAGAAAAAATTTGTGTTTAACTCTCATTTTCATGCCACTCCTAGGTCGTAGTATAGGCTATTTATCCCTACAAACCTTAAAAAGGGTAATTGCAAAAAAAAGTTATAGTTCTTTATGTCCTAATGTGATACATAAATATTTGATTTACCCTTTTCTGAAAGCTCTGTGATGCTTTCTTATTAAAAATTAGCACATTCCATCATCGGATTGGGAAAATAGGTGATCTCCTGTTGGCTTTTGCTTCAAATAAGCCCATGTACAACCAGAGTGGCTTTTCCTTGAGTAGGAATCTCTGCAATCTTTTGCATGTTGTAGTTTCCTTGGGTTAGCTCCTGGCCTTTAGAGCTAGAGTGACCTCTGCACAAAGCTCTCATTCAAATTGCATCAGTTTTTTTTTTCTTTCCCCCTTTATTGCGTTTCTAAAGCAATCTAAGCATGATAAGTAGATGCTATTATATTCTTTGTTCTGGTAGAAGGTGGTCTAGGAATTTTCTATTGTGCAGCAAGCAAGACGAGATGAGAAAACAGAAAAAATGTCAAGCTTTTGGCATTGTATTTTTTTTAGAAAAAATTATTGTAGTCTTGTGCCTTTATATTTGTAAGGTAAGTTTAGTGGTTGAAATTTGGAAAATCATTCTGGACCCTTCCACACTTTAAAGAACATGGATTGAAGATAAGGAAGGGGAATACTTCATCAGATTCCGGGATTTGTTTGGTCTCAAATCTCACGTTAAAGACAGCCGGCAAACCATGTTAAGGACAAGTCATATGGTCTTTTGTTACTGTTGTGGGAATTGCTGCAACTTTATTGCTTACCATTTTATTGAATTTAGGGTAACATTTTTTTGTGATTTATATTTATTGAGAACAAGATGAGGGAGTGTTGCCTTTGATGGTTTGGCCATGTATGACGGAGATCAAGTGAGGCTTAGGTAAGGAAACTTGAAGAATGAAAAAGTGATGGAATCCCGAGGGGTAAGAAAGACCTAAGAAAACTTGGAGGGTGATTGAGAATGATATGAGCCTTTTGGAGATTAAGGAAAATATGGTGTTGGATAGGACGGATTAGAGGGAAAAGTTCTATAATTTAAATGTATTACCTCCGTTTCTTTTACCTAAATCCATCGTGTTTTGCAAACTCTGTTTATTTTTCTTCGTTAAGTTTATTCAAACTTTTTATGTGTATTTACTCTTGTTTAACTTTTTTATATTTTAATTTTAATCACCCCTTAGTCCTTTATAAAACTGTTTCAAAATTTTATTTTAATATCCTCTTTTTGGGTTTTCACCTTACGCTATCCTCATTTTTTTTGCTCACTATATATTTTTTCATTTTTCGTCCACTATCATTTTCATCCAATTTCATTTTGCTCCATCCGTCGTCCCTATTTGATTGTTGCATAGAGCAAAGTTCATTCTTTTGAGAAGCAAGGTAAAATTGTGCACATGGGTTGCAAGTGGGGTTGATGAAGATGTAGAGGGAGAGAGTAAGAGGGGTTGCAAAGTGGGAAAAATTATGAAATAAGGTAATGGAGCAATCTCAAAGGGACATCCCAAAATGGATTACGGGACAAACAAAAAGGAATGGAGTATCTCTTTTGCATCTTTGTTCCATTTTTTGGTGGACAATTCCTTATGACGATTCATGTTAGCCGACTCCAAATCATCTTGGGACTAAGACTGCTGTTGTTAGCTTTACTTATGATATGGTGCAAAATTCTGATGTGTTGAATCTCCGTTTTAGGGAAATGCTTACCAAGCCAGTTCAGGAAGGGTGAGGAGAGATGCTGCTGCTCGTGCAATGCAGGGTTGGCATGCTCAGCGGGACATTGGATTGGGAGAAGTAGGGGAGCCCATTATTAAGGTATACAATGGTGGAGAATTGGCTTTATAATACTTAGCATCGTTTGGTGTATATGCATAAGAATTGTAATATGGTACAGACGATGGCACATTTTAGGATTTAGTAGGCAATAGAATAGAACTACTGTATATAAGAAGTATTTTGAGAATCTTCCATCAAATGGTTTAAATATATTATAGCTGAGCAATGTGATATTTTGGACAAGAAGGGAAAAGGGGAAAAACCGAAAAAGAATATTTAAAAAACTGTCCTTTCCCTTTACCTTCTCTCAATGACATGTTGTATTCTCCTCAGTTCCTCTTCTTAGTTCTTGCCTATGTGTCCATGGAACAAAGCCAATGCCCATCCCATCGCCTAGATTTAACCCATAGAAAATTAAGATTCTTTCCCTTTTGTGCTTTCTTTCTCAGCCCCATCTCTTATACTTGTTGATTTCAGAGTTTCTTGTTCCAAAGCTGCCCAAGGCCTTTTTCCTTACAATGTTAACTCCCCTTCTCTTTTTTTCCTTTGTTTCCTCCTATTAATCTTGTTTAGAGGTGTAAAATGCTAAGTGGGGATGTAATGCTCGCCAAGCTTTTGAACTTGAGGTTTGGCTCTTGATTTTGATTTTTGTTATTAGAAAATTTAATGACATGATAGATGTCAAAGAAAGAAATCACAATTTTACAGTATAAAAATATATTGCAAATATTTACTTAATTATTTTAGCAAGCTGACCTGAACCTGACTGAGCTTAGCCTCACCCATTTAAGAGATTTGTTTGGCTTTGCTGGACTAGCCAAGCAGAGTTGAAGAGTCCTCTGAGCTGGGCTCAGCTCTGCTACATTCCTAATCTTGTCGAATGCACTGGCGATGGCTCACCTGTTGCTGTCAGAATGCGGTAACTGGTAAAGGGCTTTTGCGGTTTCTTTATGGGGCCAACAAGGGCAGGGTATTCTGGCAAGGGTAATGGGTGATGGCAGGAAGTGTAGCACTGGTGGTAGTAGATGGCATCCTGGGTTGGTGGAGGAGGCTCGAAGCACATTGGATCATGGGGATGGTGAAATTTTTTTTGTTTTGTAGAGGATTTTATCTTAATCAATTTCAAGTAGTATATTCTCGGAATATCTTACTTCCCTTAAGCCTCTAATTCTGACCAGCAATATAAGTATGTAGTACATATCACTTTGTAACTAAGTTTACTTTATTTGGAATTTTATTTGCATGTACTTATGTTAGGTAATTCTAAGTCAATATTTGTGAAAAGATTCTGTGATGCTTTGACTTTCTGGTTTGGAGATTCATAATTTGATATTCTGTTCATCTTCATTTTCCTGAGATTTCATTAAATGCTTTCTGCTTGCAGGATAAGAGCATCAATTCTTCACAAAAACGTGAAAAGCATCTGAAAAATATTGGTATATTGCTGGATCTTATCATGCTTTTTATGTACGCGTTTAACTGAAATCGTTGCTGATATGTTTGCATGATTATGTGATGCAGGTGTAAAGCAGAAGAAACCAAGTAATCCGGAGCTTGCAGAAAATGAGATGCCTGAAGCAAACAAACAGTTGAGATTCCCAGATTCCCCTCTCCTCTTAGACCCCTTTTGGTCCCTCTCCTCAATACATACAAATACAGAAGACCCTATAAAATAAATAGACATGATTGAGCATAGCATTTGTATATCCTTTCTGGCTAAACCAAACAAAATATTAAAAGATCTGCCTCTGTTTAGTCTCTCAGTCACTTGTAACAACTTTAATTGCTACATGTTAAGGACTATTAATTGAATAAAAATATTACAGAAACCAGCTGCAAAAAGTTTGGGGAGAAAGCTGATGGATAGAATTTATGTATTATGTTTGATTTTGCCAAACATACCTGACTTATGTATCTAATGGACCACATTTCCCTCTTAATTTCAGGACGGTGCCAACAGTTCTGGATGTCGGCCCCCCAGCTGATTGGGTGAAAATTAATGTCAAAGAAAGTGTGAGTTTTCTAAGACTGGTTCCTAGTTCCTACATAACTCAGTTATAACTTTCTCTCCCTCCAAGCAAGTGCGTCTTGTTGCTGATGATGGTTTGGTTTGTATTTCTTCCTCTTCTCTTGCAGAAAGATTGTTATGAGGTTTATGCCTTAGTTCCTGGGCTTCTTCGAGAGGAGGTACTGTATTTTGCTTTTGTAGAATGAGATTGTTTTCCTTTTAATTCTCTGGCTTGATGTTCTCTTTCTCTTGCATCCCTGTTCTCCATAAAAATATTCACCTATATTTGCAGATAGGTTTTCACTTTCTGATTGAAAATGTCTGTTTTTACTAATTAAAATACTTACTAAATATGAAACTCTCTTTTTTGAACCTTCAGAATTCATATGGTTTGGTCGCTTGGGTAATGCTATTTTGTCATCACAAATATATTTATTATATATACATGAAAGGTTTAAGTTGCTAGGTATATGGGCATCATAGGCTTTGCTTTACAATGGTCAATAGGCATATCAATGTAGGGAGAAGAATGGGGAGATTGCTCAGTTTTGAAATGCAGTTATGAAGTTTTATGTGGTACTGAGTATGTTGTATACTCCCTCCGTTTTTAAATACTTGCTCAATTTCTTTATGCGCGGAGTTTTAGGAGAAATTGGATAAAGTAATAAAATATGGAGGTAGTGGGGTAGGTGGAATAATAAAAAATTGTAAAAAACAAAAGTAGTAGAAAGAATTGGAGGAGAGAGAATATGAAATTAATAAAAATATGAATTATGTTGGGTCCACTAGGTGAGCGAAATGAATTAAATATTGTAATAGCTTTCCAAATAAGGAAATGGAGCAAGTATTTAAAAACGGTCAGAAATGGGAAGTGGAGCAAGTATTAAAAAACGGAGGGAGTATAAGATATCTACGTTAGAGTGAGTTATTATGAAGTAAAGTTCAAATCTAACACATAGGCATACAAGTTGCATGCTTGCATCTGTACATTTGGTGAAAAGATTGGGGCTTCTTGGGCTGCTATGGCCTCGCAATGTTATCTGCAATCTCCATCTTTGTATGGTATCTAAATTTTGTTCATCATTCATACATCAATAAATGCTCATTGGCATTCCTTAATATTGTGGTTTCATTAAAGGGCCTCCTTTATCTAAAAGGACTCTCATGTTGCTTGGTTCATGAGGTGCAATGTCAGGATAATCCTGATCAGTGCACTTTTCTTGCATATTATTCAAAAGGTGTGTCTCTTGATTTTAATTGATGAAATGAACTTCACCTTCTTTCTGTCTCTTAATGCTTCAGGTCCGCGTTCAGTCTGATCCTGCTGGTCGTCTGGTCATCACTGGTCAGCCAGAGCAGCTTGACAATCCCTGGGGCATCACTCCATTTAGGAAGGTAAATTGCAACAACCCCTGAGTTTGATTTTAGTGGTTCAGTGCTTTGTATTACAAGTCCATTAGATCATCCTCAAAGCATGCTTTTCCAGAACCTGCAGATTTTTAGATCTTGGAAAATTTGCCATGAATAATACCACCTTTCATCGGTCTTTCGTAAATGGAACAACCTTTTGATTATTTCAAAATAGAACCACCTTTGATACATATATGCTATAAATGGAACGTGACCTGTTGGTAACCTGGTTAACATGCTACCATTGACACGTGTCACAATATAAGTGGCCAACTTTTTTTTTTTTTTTTACAATTTTGTTTTTTAAAAAAAAAACTTTACAAATATTTTATTTTATAAATAAACCCTTCCCCACCCAGCTCCCTGCCGGCAGCCACCCCAACCACCACCTCCTCCTTCCTCACTAATCAGGGCTACTCTACCCAAAGGATCCTCTGAAAAGGATACCTTCTTCCTTGCCTTGGACATATGAACATTGCCCATATTGAACAAGGCCAAAGCTGCCATTTCTTGAAATTTATCAGAAGCGATGTCAAAAAGTTCTTGTGCATCTTCACTTGAAATAGTGTCTTCCATTGCCTCTAATATATCTTCATTCCAATCTCATGCTGGTCCAATTATGGATCCTAATCGAACCCAACACGGTTTTTGAAGAGTTGAGCAAATTTGATAAAACACAAGGGGAGGAAATTCTCGACATCTTTTCCGGGCGACGAAAATGGCGAATATCATTATCAGAAGAAACCCTAATTGAGCTATTAATTGCGTAATTTGGGGGAGATTTGGGGATATATAGAGGAGAATTAGGGTTGATGAATCGAGGTTTGGGTGGAGAATTGAAATAGGGAGTGTGATTTAGGGTTGATCATGGTTTACAGAAAACGGTGGTGGTGGTGGGAGAGGAGGAAGAGTCAGAAGCTGCGGCAGCAGAGTCGATGACTGCCCACAATGCGTCGCCGTCAACTGGAAGTGAGGCCATCAAACTCAAAATTTTAAAGGTGTGTCTCAGGTTTTGAGTGAATGGTTTCAAATCTAAAAATGGTGAGGTAATTGGCGGTACTGTTGGGGAGGAGGGTCGTTTCCGGCAGGGGGAAGGGGAGGGTGTCTGTAGCACAAGACGGCGGTGGGGAAGGGAGAAAGGGTGGTGGCTGGGGTGGGGAAGGAAGAGGTGGTGGTTGGGGTGGCTGTTAGCAGGGGGTTGGATAGGATGGGGTTTCTTTTTTCTTATTTTTTCATTTTTTCATTTTTTTATTTTTTATTATTATTTTTTTTAATTTCAGTTTTGTTTTTTTTAATTTTAAGTTAATTTTTTTTAAAAAATTTAAAATCAATATTTTTAAAGAAAAATGTTTTTAAAAAATCTTTGACCTATCAAAATATGACACGTGTCCATTATAACTTGCACAACAGGTCATTGGTTTTTTTGTTCCATTTATAGCGGATATGTGTCAAAGGTTGTTCTATTTTGGGAAGACCTTGCAAAGGTGGTGTCATTCTTGGCAAATTTTCGTTAGATCTTTCCGCTTATGACATGCTTGTAAAATCATTATTTAGTGATGTCATTGGAAAATTTAATCTTATGGTTTTATCATTTAGCCTCATCGCAGCTTCACTATGTGTTGGCTTAAGTGGTGGGTTTATGTTATCAAGTCTGTAGATATATTAGTATCTCTTATTATGTCTAAGAATTCATGAAATTATGTTCTGGAACGGCCACTCATGTCTAGACAGATGAAAAGAGATTAGTGGTCTAACGAACTTGCTTGCATTTCCTACACCTAAGCCCTCAGTCTTTTGCCTGATTGCAAGAGAGTGGGATAGGAGGAAGAAGAATAAGGGTTATAATCTGACTAATTCCGTGTGGTTTATGGCTTTCAGATTGTTATCTTTCCGGTGAGGATAGATCCACTACATACTTCTGCTGTTGTTAGCTTACATGGAAGGCTCTTTGTCCGTGTTCCTTTTGACCGGTCAACTACCTGAACATTCTTCGTGCAGATTCTAGTGATTCTCATTAGTCTACCAGGAAAGTATAAAAGGAGCAGAAGTTGCTACTTTGGGGGGAAGAATGTTGGAATTAGAGAAGCTGACTAATTGTTGTTCTTAGGTTAGGAGGATTAAGGGACATCTGATTTCTTGCCTGCAACTTTGTGGCTCTAGTGACATTTGTAGTGGTACAGCTTCCAATTTTGTAAATTTAAGTAGATGGAATCAATTCTGTTCATTGTTGAATGAATGTATAATGCTCTGTTAATCTGCTTCTTTCTTCTATTAAGTATAATTAGAAAAACCAACTCTTACACAAATATCTACACCAAACAATGATCGAAACTAGATAATTCGATGTTGAGAGAACCAAAATTGACCTGATTTAACTTCTGGAAATTTAAGGCCTCTAAATTTATTTGATAGTGGTTCTCTTTTTTCTTTTCTGCTTCTTGAAAACCTAGATCTAGGCTCTTAGGGGGCGTTTAGTTCGCAAACTGGTATGGGGTTGGAATAAGTAATGAAACTATAGTGGTATGGGTTTGGAACTTGATTCTTAATACCATATGTTTGGTATGCTTATGGAATGCAACATTTTTCTTTTATTTGATACCTAAAAGTATGGGAATGAGCCAAACCCACCTCCCCCCAAGGTTTCTAAATCCCATACCTTGGGGGTTTGAGGTATGGGTTTGAAACTCTTAAAATCATAAGACAAACATAAGGTATGAGTTTAAATCATTCTAAACCCATACCTTCTACCTTAATTATGTGAACCAAATGCCCCCTTAAATAGTTAAATATGAACATACTCAAGTATAACCAAAACAATATTTTAATCAATGAGCAAAACAAATTTGGTAATGATATTGGTACATTTAATATTGTCTTCATATGACTAAGGGTCTGTTCTCATACGATTATTTTCAGTTCAGTTCAGCTCCTAATTTCCTTCTCTTATAAAATATTCAGTTCAATTCAGCTATAATAAGTTCAGTTCACATCAGCTCAGCTCATTTCAGTCAATGAGAACAGGCCCTAAATGAAGGTCAATTAACTTAGGCTCAGTTGAGTTTTATCGCTTCAACTTGGGTAAATACTCGCTTTTAGCAAAATTACATTTTCATTGAGAGTGAGGATAGCTCAAGTGGTTAGAGTTTCCCTCCCGATTCCAGGTGATCTTAAGATCAATTTTCATCATTCGCCCTTGTGGCTCTCTAAACACCAAAAAAATGAATATATTTTCATTAATAATTTCCTCTTTTACCTACCTACACATAACCTTAAGGCTACTACATATGACATATTCCTTAAAATTTTAATACTACATCTTAAATTACAAATATAGAAAAATTATAAAAAAATTTGATATTAATAAATTATAAATTGAGACGAATTTGACAAGATCACGACTATATTTTTCCTTATATATAATTTAGCAATGCTAATCAAAGTAGAGTATATATATATTATAAAAGTCAAAGTGTTACATTTAAAAGAGATAAGAACTATGTGGATAGATTAGTGAAACTGAAATGATAGCATTTAAAAGAGACAAGATACCAATGTTGAAATATGTAAAAAAAAAAAAAAAATGTCAAACATCAAAAGATTGAGAACACTAAATTACAAAATTTTGTAATAAACGAAAAGAAGGCCACGGAACCCGCCACTTGATTCGCATAAACTGATAAACTAAATGCCCATTTGTTGAAGCAACAAACAAAACACAAAATTGAAGTTAGAAAATTGACAAAATCCCAGATTTCAAAGTATGAGAGAGGAGCAACAACACCCATTGTTGCTCCACCCCAATAACCCCAACAATATGGTTAATGGAAGAATCACAAATACAGATGATTTGATTGGAGAAGAGAGAAAGACATGGGAAGAGCTCAAAAAGATATGGAAGATTGCTGGGCCTTCCATCTTTTGCCGTTTTGCTATGTTTTCTCTTACTATTATCACTCAATCTTTGGCTGGTCATTTGAGTGACCTTGATCTTGCTGCTTTTTCCATTGCTACCACCTTTCTTATCTCCATTAGCTTCGGTTTCTTGGTATGATTTCTTTCTGTCTCTTCTTTTGTCTTTTAATTTTATCAACATTGCTGTATTTGAGGGTTTTGTATTGATTTTGATGAAATTTACTAAGTGGGATTTGTTGGGGTTTTTGAAATGTTTAAGGGTTTTTAGTTGATTTTTGTATAGAGTGATAACGGACAATGATATTGACAAGATTCGATTTTACATTTTGAAGTCTTGAACTTTATTCGATCCTAGGTCTTGGGAACCAATGACTATCATCTACAACTTTACTTACCTGCTAAGCTAGCTGACATCCACGATTATATGTAATGGAGAAGAGTTCCTTATTATATAGTTGCTATTCTATTGGTATTTATTTTTAAGGAAATTAGGTACATTTAAGGTAAGGTCTATATATGGGTGCTTAAGGAGGTTCATGCTTAACAAAAGAGTGTGTTTTTTCATGTAGGTTGAAGATGCCTATTGTGGGTGATTGAGGTTAATTAGGGACTCTAATGTTGTTTGTTCATGGTAAAAGGTTTCATAACTATGATGATCTTGTGTGTAAAGTAGATTCATTTTAATATATGTTCACACCTAGCCTGTTTCTTTTCATTGATAATATTTCATTATCTCCTACGGTACATTAACCTTGGATAATAAAGGTAAAAATATATCTCTCTAGATAACAATTATAAGTTGTTTCTCTCATACGGAGTATACAACATCTCCGAATCCTATAGTAACCATTTTTGATATTACTAATATTGGAGGTGTTAATAATATAAACATGAAGGAAAATAAATCGTTAATTAGTTAAAGAGTTGTTGAGGGGATTTTTTCCCTGTCACATTATGTTATTTATAGCTTAAGTGGACTTAATATTCAAGCATTGTTGTTCAAATTAGAATATGAATTTATAGCATGTAAAAATGGTCACAACCTCATAAGCCATATCCATATTTTTATTATACAAATATGATGGGCACAAGGACATAGGGATTGAGGAATACAATTGGGGAAACAGCAACATTAAGATGTTATTGGAGCTTATGTAAGATGGGGAAGAAAGGTCTCAGCTAACTTTTAAAAATTGATTTATGATGTTCAGATAGGAATGGCAACTGCATTGGAGACATTATGTGGGCAAGCCTATGGTGCTAGACAGCACCACATGCTAGGCCTCTACGTGCAGCGCTCATGTGTAGTTCTCTCTTTTTGTGCAATTCTTTTGCTTCCCATGTTCATATTTGCTGCACCTCTACTGAAGATTCTTGGCCAATCAGCTGAAGTGGCAGAACGAACTGGCTTAGTGGCAAGATGGTTGATCCCCATGCACCTGAGCTTTGTATTTCAATTCTCATTTCAGAGATTCTTGCAGAGTCAACTAAAAATGGCTATTATTGCTTGGTCTTCTGCTGTGGCTCTGGGAGTTCATGCCATTATTAGCTGGCTTTTTGTTTATAAGCTTGGCGTTGGTATAATTGGGACTGCCCTTACTCTTGATTTTTCTTGGTGGCTCTCAGTTTTTATAATGTATGGGTATGTTCTTTATGGTGGGTGTCCTAAGACATGGAGTGGTTTCTCATGGCTTGCTTTTACTGATTTGTGGGACTTCTTCAAGCTTGCCTTGGCTTCTGGTGTCATGGTCCTGTAGGTATTTTGACTCATGATCTACTTTTCTAATTTAGCACTTGGTCTATGGTTTAGCTCTGCATGATATGATTTCTATTCAAGGTTTCCATCTGAAACTAGTTAGTTATAGGCTTGACTGATATTAAATTCACTTATGTTAATGAGTTAATTCTTATTAGTTAATTTAAATCTATCGATGAAACGATTTTTTAATGTTATGTTCTTTTGCAGGTGTTATAAGTCAATGAGCAAATAATTTATATGATCTTTTCTCTTATTTTCAATGTGTTGTAGATTGGAAAATGTCTATTATCGGTTGCTGGTTATAGCGTCTGGGGATGCTGGAAGCTCACATGTTGCTGTTGATGCTCTCTCTATATGGTTGGACATGGATCCTTGTCATTGCTTTGCTTAATGCATATTGTTAGTCTAATCAGCTTCTCCAATTGTCTATGAAGTTGTGTTGGTGATGAAATTCGTACTCCAAACTGTCTAGTTTTTTTATTTAATTGTAATTCTAGACAGAAAACTAATGCAAAGTATTCAATTATATGAATACTAATTCTTTGTAAAACGAAAAAAAAAAAAAAGAAAAATTGTTAAGAGGACTGGTAATATGGAATGGATGGAATATTCTATTGAAAAGTGCTTACCTAATTAGGTTTGGTGGATTTTCATTGACAGTGTGACTCTGTTTGGCTGGGAGTCTATGGTTCCTCTTGGAATACTTGCTGCCACTGGGTAACTTCTTTACATTTCCAATGTTCTTGTTTTGATATTGACTACAGAAAATGAAATGTCAAGTTCTGAATTATTTCATTCTTGGTGTACAGCGTTCGAGTAGCCATTGAGTTGGGAGCAGGAAATGTCAGTGGTGCCAAGTTTGCAGCCAAAGTGTGTATGCTGACATCGTTAATCATAGGACTGATATTCTCCTCACTGGTGTTAGCTATCCCAGACAAACTAGCAATGATTTTCACACCTAATTCATCCGTGATTTCTGTTGTCTGCAAGTTAGCATATCTGCTGGCTCCCACCATTTTCCTGAATAGCATCCCTCCAGTTCTTTTAGGTGATTTGTTTTTATTTATTGGAAAAATGCTTTGAAGAGACTGTGTTGTTTTCATCGTCTAACATATTCAATGATTTTCCTCAGGCATAGCAGTTGGATCAGGTTGGCAAGCGTTGGCAGCATATATAAACATCGGGAGCTATTACTTGGTGGGCTTCCCTCTTGGGATTTTTATAGGACGGGTGCTTAACTTTGGATACATGGTAAGTTTTTATAGACTGTAAACTTAGAATTTAGATGTGAGGAAGAACAGGATTATGAAGAAAACTGGTGATTGTATTAATGCAATTAAATAATTGCTAAGGAGAATTACAGCCCAAACCCAGTCCTTTGAGTAGATGAACACTTTCAAGTCTCAACTACGAGCTAAAGCAATATAAACCCAACAGTACTCTCATTGTCCTCCCTGATATCCTCTCTATATAACGTTCTGACTTCCTTTCCTTCTATCACCTCTAACAAATTCTCTGGCCCCATCCTTAAGCTACTTCTAATAGACTAATTATGCACACCCACAAAGTCCTTTTCCCCTGGGCTTAGCCTAAGTGTAACTAAAGCTTTTTATGCACTCCTATCTCCTATTTTGTCAAAATTTTAGCATCAACTAATCTCCAAACTTGTCAATGGTGAGTATATACAGCTTTGAATGGTACTCTTTCCGTTCCACTAGATTTGCCTCACATTCCTTTTTTGGATGTCCCATTGAGTTTGCTCCATATCGTAAATGGCATAAGGGTCCACTACTTTACTCTCACATCACTACTTTGGTCACACCAATTCCTCGCTCATCAACAATATCCAACCAATACATAACAAAGTACAGAGTAGCAATTCTTCTTTGGAGCAAATCCATTGGGATGGAGGGAGTAATAATAAAATGCTACCCTTGGAGGTTATGAGAAATAAGGATAAATAATTTACTGATTAGAGTATTTGAGATGACTGACAATGCCCCTTTATTTTTCTTTTCTTCCCTTCCAAATGATCAGGGAATTTGGGCTGGAATGCTTGGTGGGAGTGTGATACAGATATTGCTTCTGGCCATCGTTGCAGTCAAATATGGATGGGAAAAGGAGGTACTGACTTTAAAGTCATTAACACAACATCAGCAAGTGTGTTAAAGTGCACGTGATGTTATTGCTTTACGTGATGTTAAGTATCAATTGTCTGCAGGTTCAGAAAGCTCGCGGCAAACACACTTTTATGGATAAAGCTGTAGATGACTAGACATTTTGATCTGCTCAATGTGTTTTGTTATCCATCTTAGGTGGCAGGTGCCATGGTTTGGCCTATGACTTTGACTATTTTTAAAAGGTACTTTATTTCACTTATTTGCAAATGATTCATATATAAAATTTGTGCTGTCTCCCTACTGCTTTCCACTAAGTAGTTGCTATGTATACTGCACTGTCAAGAAGTGAGTGAAAGGTTTGATTGCTGAAAGGCGTAATTTTGGAGTTTTTATGTCCTCAATCTGTAAGGTTGGCTGTAGATGTAGTGAATTCCTGGATGCTGTGAATATTGTTGATAATAAATTAGCAAAATGAGTTTGCGACCACTTTATGAGTCAATTTAGGGGCACTCATTTTACATAGCATTGTGATTGTGTCATCTCCAATTAAGTCAAAGACTCGAACTAAGGCTAGCCTTGCCTGTTAAATAATAACAAAGTGATTTTTGGGCCATATGCGAGATAAATTGTGAAATTCCCAGCATTTAGTGAATATACCTATCTGTCTTTTCTTAAGACAAACACTTTAGAGAGGAGAGGGGAGGTCCAAAGCAGGGGTAGCAATCAACAAGTTTGGCGAGATCTTTAAACAAAACAAATTGTATCTCGTCCTCTGAATGCCAATACCCATAATACTTCTTTTTCTACTATTTAGAAATCAGATAAATGCTTATCTTTAGTTAAGTGGAAGTCTGACCCTTCGCATAACATTGGCAATGATTCCTGTCCCTCTATCTTCATCTTCAGAAGTTTCTTTGACTACAGTGTCATTTCTCTATGAGGGTAGTGGAATATAATGTGTGGACTTAAAGGTAAATGGAGGTGAAGTGGTGTATGAAGTTATAATATAGCTAAGTTGATATAAATGGTGGTTGTTGGACCAATTAGTTAATATAAGTGTTCAGGATGTCAAGAAACAAAAATACCTTGGTAATCTTTTCCTGAACATCAAGTCAAAACACGGATATTGAGTGAATAATTGGCATTTGGCCAAAATCATTTTGGGCTGGATTTCTGGCCAACTGCCATCAACACCAGTTTGGAAGAATATACGTACCTGGCTATGATGATATTCTAAATTTTGGATGTCGTGGATACGAATGAATTTGAAGTGCCTAACAATAGAAATCAGGATGTTTAAAGGATTCCCTTACCTATACATCTTCTGTATGAGGTGAGCAGCCGCATGGCTGAATTCTCTTCCTTTTCACCCTGTTCCTTGTGAACTCTGATGGGGTTTTATGATGCACCATATAGTTGACTGGCATTTAGGAATATGGCGCTAAGACTGGTGTTCTGCCTCTTCTGTGGTTTCACTTAACTGGATGATTTCTGCACAAATGCAGTGCACCCAAAGGATCCTTTACATGTAAATGCCTGATTCACCTGGGCAGAAGAATAATTTTTCATTGGATCCTAAAAAACCAAGGTTCGGCCTTAGTCAAGAAGGGAATGTGAGGCAATGAGCCAATGAATGTGTTTCTGAGCCAATGAGTGTGTTTCTGATTTGCTGCATTTTATTTATTTGATGTTATTATCTTTTCCTTGTTGCATTCATTAAATCAACTTGCCTGTAGGAAATTGTTTCAAGGATTGCGAATTTATTACTCCTAATTGATTTTTAAGTGTTGGTTTTATTATGTGATAGGCTAAACACTTAAATTTTTCTAATTGGGGTCTATCTCTTGCAGTCATGCAGAACTGAAGCAAAACCGATCTTGCTGTTAGGATGATTAAATATTTAAATGATTGCTACACTCAAATTCTTACTTAGACAATACGGGTACTAGTTATACATCTGCATTAGCATTCATTTCCTTCCAATTGTAAATTGTAACTGGTTTTATTTTTTGTTTCTTAAAATTATTGATACTGTTGTAATACAGAGTATAGTTATGGGAAAATTGTAAAAAAAAAAAAGCCCTCCATAACCTTCTTTTATCCTTCCATGAACTAGTTCTGTATAATGGCTAATAAGAGCATCTTGATCTGCTGCTGTCTTACAATAAAGCGGTAAAGGGAGTGCAGGAAGTGTTGCAGAAATTTTTAGTAAACTCGGTAAGTTTAATGCCTAGGACATCAATGGCGATTTACATGGTAGAATCTCTATCAAACTAGGTGTTTAGACTATTTGCCTTGTAACCAGCACTAACCAGAAGATGATCCATATAAAGATTATAAACAACCACAATCCCGATGTTTCTCAGCAACAAAACAAGAAATGAAGTAATTGCCGCGTTTTGTACAACCATGCCCCCCTTAAACTTCATGATGTAAACTATGTTCCGTCTGCTAACGCATCACTGTGTTGGTGCATCAGCCTGCGTTGCCAATAGGCAATAACAGCAGACAAAACTCATGAGTCAAAATTAATAGCGGGGAAGGCTGGCGAGGCAATTGATGCCATGGATGTGGAACGAGCCGTGGGCCGTGGCCTATGTACAAAAGAATTATAAGAGTGTATGATATGCATCAAACACTGGAAATTGATTTTGGCAATCCTAGTCTAAAAGATTTTGTCATTTTTCTTATCGGATTGGCCATATAACACAAAAAATTATTCTCTCGAGTGTCAAAACAACTTTTGGAGCGTCAAAGTTATTTCCCCAAAACTTTTGCTAAATTATGATGTTGTATGTAATTATGTTATGTTAATTTGTAGCATTTTAACAGTGTGAAAAACATACAAAACTTTTTAATAATTTTTTTTAATTGATGAAATTCAACCTAAAGTCTTGAATACCAGCTCTAAAACTTTAATTGACAAAAAAAAAAATTAAAAAATTAAAAAAAAATTGAAACTGTTCAAGCTAGAAATCTAGAATAGATGTCTATGGACCTTATGGACCCAAATGTCGCATAAAGTCGAAGTCGAACCCAATACTGCATTTTACATGGACTACATTATTATTATTATTATTATTATTATTATTATTATTATTATTATTATTATTATTATTATTATTATTATTATTATTATTATTCCAATTTATCTACTGTACTAGATTAGTAGTATCACTTTCAGCGAATCGACAGCATTTTAAAGATCATTGAAATATTTAAAAAAAAAGTATTGAACTCGATATCAAATCAAAATCTAGATAAGTAAAAGAATATTGTACTGTAATATATAGTGGTGACTGGTGGTTAAGGTTTGGTAGCTTTTTTTAATAGTATGATTTTAGAGAACTTGTCAAGTTGTCATATTGGAAAATAACAAAAAAAATTCAAGATTATACGAAGTACTACATCATTGCTAGTCAAAAAATAAATTAATAAAATTATAAAGTACAATATCATTGACATTGTTTACTGTAGGTAAGTCACTAAGTCCATATCATTCGATAAATGGATTTTAATATGAGAAAAATTAAATTACTAAAAAATTTTAGTCAATTATAAGGGTCTGTTCTAATAGACTGAATTGAACTGAACTGAATATTTTATAAGAGAAGGAAATTAGGAGTTGAATTGAAATGAAAATAAACGTATAAGAACATGCCCTAACTGTAATTAGATTGTGCCATTTACCTTATTTTTGGTTATTTGAATTTCTAAAGACAACTTATTGGGATATATTTCATTGAGCTGAACTTATATGTAGGAATTAAAAGCAAACTTATTATATGAATGCGCTTTCCTTGAATTGAACTTAGGTGCACTTCACTGTTGTATTCCATTTTTTTTTATATAATTATATTGTGATAAAATATATACATGGTGCTTAAAATATAAAGGTAGCACGTAGCAGGGTTTCTTGAAGAATTGAAAAAATAAAATATTATGTGAAAGTGATTGTGTTTAACAGCTTATTTAAAATATAGGGTAAAATATATGATGTAATAACAGAGAAAGATTAAAGAATGTGAAAGTGATAGATTATGATGAAAGATAAGTTTAACATTATTTTTTATATCTGGATAGCCACACCGTTTTAAACATATGATTGAAATGAAAATGATACTCGTAGAAAGTTTCTAAAACACGATCTTAAAAAATACAATCGATTATTTAAAGTGTGCCAATTACCAAAAACGAAGACAAATAATTCCATTTTTGGACTATGGCCCTTCTCAGGTTAGTCACTAGGCGAAAGAACAAAAAAAATTCAAAATTGTCACAAGTCACATACAAATGATCTAGAATGGATTACATTTTTGCAACTACTTGTACTAGCTTTAGTGCAAATTTCACACTTGTCACTGTTGGCAGATAATTAAGAAACATAAAGAAAAAAAAATGGTTATTAAATAACCATGCATTACCATTGAAAATTAAAGGTGTTTCCAAATATAGGGAAAAATAACTAATGGTAATAAATATTGCAGGCTAAATTTTAAATGGCTTAGGTTGTTTTAGGAAAACTATAAATTGAGCATTTCCTTCATTTGTATGTAATAATTTCAAGAGAAAATCTGAGAGAAGAAAAATAACTCAGAGAAAAGAGGGATTGTGTTTTTTGCACTTTGGTATAAATAGACATTTTGTTTATGTAATTTATTTCTCCTTCAAATTTGATTAAATAGAAAATTTGCATTATTTTCTTAACAGTCACGAGTGTTTATTTTATCTGATAAAGAAGGTTAGCGATCCACCTCAAAATCATATGACAATAAGAGGAATAGCCCTTTAGTCTTATACAGTGTACACAACTTTCTTATTTTTTTAATATGGAATACACTTCTCAATACTTTTACACACTTTTAATGTGGAATAATACTTTCATTCACTTGTGGATTTGTTCACGGCTCAACAAAAACATAAAAAATGATAAATAAGACAACTACGAAGAAACTAACTCCAACATTTGGAAACACTTGCAATAGTGACATAGTGTCACACTATTAAGATTTAGGACTATTCACTGGTGGATCTAAATTTGAATAATCACAATTGACTACAGACCAAAAATTGTATACACAAGATCCAGAGATTGAACAATCACGTTAGGATCAAATAAATCAGATTGATAAAATTGTTCTAAAATTCAAACTGGACTGATTTTGATTATTTGTATGTTTTTGAATTTATTTATAATATCTTGGAATAAAAGAAAATTATAATAAAAAAGAAAACTAATTGTTGATTCCGGTTCATAGTAATACTCCCAAAAAAAGCCTTAAATATAAATAGGCTTTTAAAAGGTTATAGACTAGCTAGATGAAATCAAAGTCCAAAATATATTTTTTCTGATTTAAAGACCAGACCGGTTAATTCTTTTTTATTTGGATTGGTGTAGTCCGATCAATTTCTCTGGCCTAGACCAATATTATTTCTACATTCATACACACAAATACACATTGAAAACTCCCTCCCACACACGATCCATATAGTTTGTAGCCTATAAATTTTATTACTACATGTTATACGTGTATTGACAAATATGATTAAAAAAACATAACACGAGTCACTAGGTAACTTATAAAATAAGTATGGACGGAGTTCACAACTATCATTTGAATCAAATCAACATAATACTGACTTGTTCAGTAAATCTTTTTATTTTTTGGCGAAATTTATTCAGTATTGTAGCTAATTAAGTTGGTCAATCCGAAGTTTGCATATGTATAAAAATCTGAGCAATTAAAATTGTACACGTTATACACAAATTTTGCGAAAAAAGATCTTTCGTCAGCACTGAGCGTTACAATAAATACTCGTGGGAACCACATAAGTGCTTGTGTTTGTTGTGTATCGTATATGATTCATTTACGTGCGACATTTTTCTTCACTCTCATATAAAAACCATCTTTTCTTTTCTAGCTAAACAATTCAATCCAAATTCCTAAACACCAAAACTCTTCCATATTCAAATAAATACGGAGAACAAAACTATGAAGAAGATTGAAGAATTAAACCAACCATTAATATTATCAAAAAACGATAATATTAATGGCGAAAATTCGATTATTGTCAAGGATAATAATGTTGATCAACAAGGGTGTTTAAAATTAGGAGAAAGGGTGTGGGAAGAGTCTAAGAAACTATGGCATGTAGCCGGTCCATCGATCGTTAGTAGGATTGCATCTTTCTCAATGAACGTGGTTACGACCGCCTTCGCCGGCCACCTAGGGGATGTTGAACTAGCGTCTCTTTCGATTGCTAACACCGTTATTGTTGGGTTCAATTTTGGCCTCTTGGTATGTACTGTACTTTGATCTCTCTTATAATTTTCTTTTTTTAGAAGATTATTTCCTTTGTTTTTGGGTTCATTTCACATTTATGATATAATCTTTTCTTGAAAATTATTGTGTACACTCATTTGAGGTACGCAATAAATGTTCTATTCTTTTCTTTCTAGTGAGGTGTAGCATTTATCGGAAATTCTTAAGGAAAAGGTGGAAGACTGTCCTCAAAAAAAAAAATGATATTCCGTACATTTATATTTGTTACTCCCTCTCCGAAAAAAGACTCATTTGACCTAATTTTAGTCCCAAAAGAATAACCCATTAATATTAAAATACCCACCAATTTGCAACAATATTTGTGCAAAATTAGCTTCTCCATATAAAATTTTATTTTTCCATATACTTTTATTACTATCTTTCTCTACTTTATTTGTAAACCCTATGTAAATTTATCTTTCCAATATACTTTTACTTCTTTTTATTTAACTTTATTAATACCCGCGAAATCAACCCGAAAGGGTCGTTCTTTCGAGGACGGATGGAGTATTAAAGATGACGAGAGTAACATGAATAAAAAACAAAATGTAAAAATAAAATCTAGTGATGCATGAAAAAGTGATGAGTTATTTTATGTTTATCTTTTATTATTATACGATAAGTTAAGAAAAATTGTTTTCTAAAAAAAAAAGTTAAAATAAGTAAAAACCAAATGCAAAAATATTACGGAGTAATGAAATATAAACTATTAGATGAAGCCCGTGCGATGCACGGTTTGTTAGTATTTTTTTAAATAAAATATTTTTCATATTTATGTGATTTTTGTTACTACTATTATATTAGCTTTAAAATATTAGATAAAATTTCTAATTTTAAAAGATAATATTTTGTATTTAATTAATTTAAACATTAAAATTTCATTCGTCAATTTTGCTAACGTGGCATTTGAATTATTTAATTGTAAAATAAATTAATAATCTTTTATTTAATTGGCTACAACTTAAATTCATAATCCTACATGGCGCGCTAAGAAAAATAAATTCTACGTGTCTCCCTAAAAACTCGGGGGGAAAACTCCCCTTTATATATATATTAGATTTACTGTATATCCGTTAGTTAAAAATAGGATCGGATAATAATATTAATTTTATATGGATATCTTTTCTGTAAACTCTGTAAATTAAATTTATTTAGTTAATAATATGGTGTAATTATTGGTAAACTTTGAGAAAAATTTACTCTGTAATAACTAATACGTAGTAAGTTATTTAACGTATGAATACATGTTAAGATTAACTAATACTTTGTACATGTTCGTTTGTCTATCTTCAGTTTAATGTATTAACACAATATACCTTTTTTAATATAAAAAAAAAAAAAAAATCTGTTTATTTAATTATTTTTTTGGAACCACCAGAAAAGTCTAAAATCAGAAGAAAACTGAAATTTGTAGCCAATGAGTCCAAAGAGCTGTTTGTAATTAGCTGGTTAATTCCCAGCTTTCTAGATATTGCCAGCACAAACTTTTTTTTTTTTTTTTTTTTTTTTTTTTTTTTCTTTTTTGAGTGGCAGTTGTCTTGTTTCTTTCTCTTACTTCTTACCGTATTTTTCAACTGGTGGTCAAATTCTAATTTGAATTACTACTTTTTTGGTGTGAAATTAATAAGGAATTTCAAGTAACTTTTTATTACGGAGTAAGGAATTTTTCTTGCTTGATACTTCCTCCGTTTTTTTTTACTTGACCCGCTTTGACTTTTACACCATTCACCACCTCTCTTTTAACCGTCTTTTGTAAATGGTATGTAAGGAAAAATATATTCATATGATATTTTTTTTAATTCGTCTCAATAAGTACTATCGTAATATACAACTTTTATAAATTTTACTAAAGTTATTGATCACTAAAGTTTTGCATCGACAAGCGTGATAAAAGAAACAAGTCAAGTAAAAAAGAATAGAGGAAGTATATACTTTATAAAAGCACTCCATATATTTTATATTTTTATGCATACCATTTACGAAGTACTCGTACAACGTAACATTATTACAATCATACAAGTATATACTTATATACAATGGTTATAGATATTTAAAAGATTAACTAAGGTACTTAAATTTGGGAAACTAAATTAGGGAAAAAGAATTGAATAAATAAGGCTAGAAAAAAATTGATATATATGAGTGAGACCAAAGAAAAGTGTTCGTACTACTAAGGGTCTGTTCTCATACGTTGAAATTCAGTTTAGTTCCGCTCAGTTCAGTTCAGCTCCTAATTTCCTTCTCTTATAAAATATTCAGTTCAGTTCAATTCAGTTGAGTTCAGTCAATGAGAACAGACTCTAAGTATTACATAGTAGTATAGTACTAATGTATCATATAATTGCTAAAAACAAAAGACAGTAAAAGAATTTCAACTATTTAAAGCACCACATACAATAAAAATTATAATGAGATTTTAAAAAACAGAAAAAGTAAATAAATAAATAAGTAAATTTATACAAAGTACTACGTAGTTTATTATTTATATTTGCCTAAAAAGTTTTTAGCTTAACTGTTTTATTCAATTTATGAAATAGATATACAAAAAGATAGATAGGATAGTCTTAAAAACTTTAGCTACATTGCCGAAACATTAATACAATGCCGTTGAAAATAGGTCTCAAAAATATCATCACATGTAAGTGTCCTACTTGAATAAAGAAGACAAAGTTAATCACCTTATAAGGTTAAGAGCTACTTCTTCTATTGTTATATAGTTTTTGGACTTGTGAAGCGGACCTCTCTTCGTTCTAATTTACAGGTACGGCTCAGACCCGTATTTAACAAATACTCACCATGTTGAACTCGAGAATTGACATCCTTGATGATGACTTTGGAAAGGTCAATATATTCAAAATTTGGGTGCTATATAAATCAAGTTATTAATGATTTAAAATTTGAAGTAATGTTCCACACCTCAATATGATTATTTTTTTATTTGAAGGGTAAAATCAATCGAGCTTTAGTCTTTTTCTTAGTAATATCTTAATTAATTAATTAATTAACTGAAACAATTAAAATATTATCAATGTCGGAATTCTCTTACAAAAAGAGTGCTTGATTGATGTCCTACTTTACGACATTAACTCCACTATTATGACTACGGTTAATTTGTTGTTGATCGATACTTGGTTAAGGCTTAATTTTGCTTTAAATTAGTGTAGTACGTAACATGATCAATGGTGGGACACATTACACAAATTTAAGCATGAAAAATGTTTGAATAATCTGAGAATTGAGTTCTACCTGATTCTTACAATTCTTTGCATTTGGACTTATATGGTCAACTTTCTAAAAACAATTATAAACAGTAAAATCATATTATGTGAAATTTTATTAGATTTTGACTTAAATATACTTTTTAAAATACTTGTACGGAGTATATTTTTTAAAAAAAAATTTCTTCTTCTCATATTTAATTGAAGATATCTGTAATCAAAGATGTGCATTGATCAAGTACTGAAAAAACCAAGAGTAAAAAATAAAAAGGAACACACGAAAGTAGGCGAGGTGAATGTAATGATGAGTCCTTTAATTTAAAGGAGAATTAACTAATGACTAAATAATGGCTATCAAATCTAAGGGTATTATTTTCTTAAAGTGAATTTGTCTAGAGTGTTCCAAATTTCCAAGTCTAAGGAATCCTAATTAGAAAGCATTTTTTTTTAATCATCGTTAAGGATATGATAAAGTAGCATAACTTTTTCATCTAATTTATTCGTTGGAACGAAATCTACCAACAAGGCAACAAAATATCAATTTTCTAATTGGAAGATTAATACTCCGTACAATATCGTGGAATGGTAAACGCTAAGCAGCTACCTCTTTTTATTGTGCTCCACTTTGTGGTCGATTTCACGAAACTCCTACACGAATAAGTTGCGTGGTAAAATCAAACACGGATAAATATGAATGGATCCCCTCTTATCACAAAGAGGGAGATGAGGAGTCCAATCCATATCACACCTAGAGGAAATGGAGGGACTAATCATCCCTCTACTCCTAAGCATAGTCATGTGCATGGCATTCTGCTTGATTCATCATAAATTACGACTTTAAAATTATGTCAATAATACACATTTTACCAGAACTGCATAATAAGATAAATATAGCCGAAAATGTGTTTTGTGATTTACTAAGTTTCAATCTTGATTTCAATCCTAACCCTCTATGCAATTTTTTTTACTAACACAAATTCATTCACTTTACATAAAATGTTACATAGCTAGGTATGGCAAGTGCATTGGAAACACTATGTGGGCAAGCATTTGGAGCCAAAAAACTACACATGCTAGGCATCTACATGCAAAGATCATGGATAGTCCTCTTCCTTTGTTGCTTCCTCCTCCTTCCTTTCTACGTCTTCGCAACCCCGTTACTCAAACTAGCAGGCCAGCCAGACGACATAGCTGAATTAACAGGCCTAGTCGCAGCATGGCTAATCCCTCTACACTTCAGCTTTGCTTTCGTGTTCCCGGTGCAACGCTTCCTACAAAGCCAACTTAAGACGGCCATCATTGCTTGGGTTTCGTTTGCAGCATTCTTTGTTCATATATTCATGAGTTGGCTCCTTGTATATGTCTTTAATATGGGAATTATTGGCCTTTGTGTAACCCTTAATGTCTCTTGGTGGATCCTTTTCTTCGGCGAAATGGCGTATGTTGCTTGGGGTGGTTGTCCTGAGACATGGAGTGGATTTTCTTGGCAAGCTTTTGTGGGTCTTTGGGAGTTCGTTAAGCTCTCTGCTGCCTCCGGTGTCATGCTTTGGTACGTTACGTACAACTTTCACTTTATACTCCGTAATTTTCTATTATCCGACTATTCCAATACAACAGCTGCATCACATGATGACGATATAATTGAATGATATTCATGTCATAATTAATACTCCGTAACAAATTGGTCCTTGTTACTAAATAATATGTCATTTTTAAGTAGTCTCCGTAATTCGTATTATAAAAACAGGGAACGGGTGAATTTCGAAAACTACTTTAGAAAACATGAATTCTCTTAAATTGTTGCTGAAATATGATTTACTTGTCATACCATCATATCATTAATAATGCAACTGATGATCTGCACCCAATATATTATATACGGAGTACAAGTGCTTTTAATTCACTTTCTAGTTTCTCCTTTAAAATGGGCTCACATGTAATATGTAATGTCCTCACAAAATAATATAAAGATTCAACGACATTTATGAATAGATCTAGTATTCTAGATGGGTGGTCACTTCATAATTTTGCTGAATCCTAAACAGTATTTGTATAGTCATAAATTCATAATAGACAATCAATCATATATAGAATAATAAATTTTGGATCAGTGATCACAGAATAAGTCTATGGAGTATTGGATCGGAGTGTTTGTTTGAGAACTTTGGGGTAAATAAGAGAATTGGCTAGTCCAAATGTCAAATACACTAGAAGAAGAGAAGATTTAAATACAATTGTGAAACAATTATTTGATCATAAAGTTGATCAAATTATGTTCTGATTGATGACTGAGCTGAACTGAACTGAGCTGAACTCAACTGAAATGAATATTTTATGAGAGAAAAAAAAATAAAGAACTGAACTGAACTAAAAATAATCTGAAGAGAACGAACCCTAATTACCAGTTATCAGGGGTTTTTTAAAAATATTCTATAATAACCATATTTCATGTCAATATTTTTATTGTTCAATCTACAAAATAAAATTATGATTAATTTCTCAATTTTGTTTACATAAAATACTAATTAATACAATCAGCTAATTAAATTGACAAACAATTAATACAACCAGTTTCCTAATCATAGAACTAGCTAGCTACCAAGTGCTCCGTATTAATTATGGAGTAATAAACAGCTATCATTGAGTAAAGGATATCTAAAGTTGTTGAATTGAACTATCTTGAAAATGAATGTATAATTATAGGGCTAGCAATAATAGGCTTCAACAATTGTATGTGTAGCCTACCTTATATTGCTCTAAAGAGTACTGAGTATAAAATTCTTACGGAGTACAAAATACGAATTAAGTATGCTTTAATTTTACCACGCATTAAATTTACATTTGTTTCGGGTGAAAACAATGGGACCTTGTCGAAGGTCCGATGAAGTGGAGAAGACTGGATTCGGTCCAAGTGATGTTGGGCCGAAGGTTTCCTGCACAGTAAACACACGTAAACTAGCCTCGGGGGTGTTGCCGAGGAAGGCCCCTCCGATGCTAAAGTCAGTACAGTGTGTAGAAAGAGAACACTATGCAAGAGAATTAATTGCTTGAGGCTTTTCTTGAATGAATGTACAAATGTAATATTGATGGTTTTTATACCTTTGCATATATGGAGAAGTTGGGCCTTAGCCCAATTGGCTTGCCCTTGAGGACTGATCTTTGACTTTAGCACAATTGGAGAGATGAACCTTGACCTTGGGCTTTTAATTGGATCATTTAATGCGTAGGCCCAATTGGACTAAATTGGACCCAAACAACTTGCCCCCCAGACCCGATTTGGAAGGATGACGGGTCGGGTTTGATTTAATCAGAAAAGGAGGGAAGTGAATGATTTAATTAATCCAAAAATTTGAATTTAAACCGTAATTAATGAGATAACAATAGTTAAGGCGGATAATTGTGGAAGTTGGACGGATAATGGGCAGTTTAATCGCAAGGTCGTGTGTTTAACGGTTACTTAGTGGGCTATTTAAGAGAAATTGAAACGCGGACTCCCCGTATTCCCATTTTTGGAGATATAATTAGAGGCGCGTCATCTTTCCTCACTTATTCACCAACACAAACCCAGAATTCTCGAGAGAACCCAAGAACCCGCATCAAAACTTCGCAAATTCCCCGAGCATTAAGCTTAGAAACTGAGACTCTCCACTACCAATTCGTAAATCGGCAACTTTCGCTTCAGATTAAGGTAAATTCCTTTGATTTTAGTTTATTTTTCTTCGAATTTGAACTCCTTCCTTTTTTTTCGACTTTTTTCTTCGAAATTATCAATGGCGAGAGGAGTTAGGGGTAGAGCCCGTGCTCCAAGAAGAGCAAGGCCAATTCCCGATCCCAGGAACAGGATTGGGACCTGGAATGGACAAAGAGCAGAGTCTGACCCTGCCGAAGGGATTAGGGCGACTCCAATTTCCTCGGCTCCTCCTCAGAGAACGGAGGGGCCGAGCGCTTCTGGGCGGGACGATGAAGTTCCCGCTGTCCTTTGGGATATCCTTCCCGGGTTTTCAGAGTGGGAGGATGCCGAAGTAGCTTCGGCCATGATAAAGAACCGCCCCTACTCATGGTGGGTGGAGAATGCCGAACAGTATCGGTTTGCCGAACAAATTGTGTTGCATTACGACATCCTTGAAGCTGATGGGTATTGGTGCCGAATGCCCGTGGCATCCGATAGAATCCATCGTCCACCCCCGGGGTATGCGGGGGTGTACACAAGACAACTTCATTATGGGCTGAGGTTCCCTTAGGACGTATTCGTCCGAGACTTGCTGATCCATTACAATATTTCCCTATGTCAGCTAACTCCTATTAGCATCCGAAGGGTGATGACATACTTATGGGTCTGCAAGTTCTTCAGGTATGTGCCGAACCTGCACTGCTTCAAAAAGCTTCATCGTCTAGTGCCAAATATTCAAAGTGGGCACGGAAGTCATGGTTCTGGGTGGTATCGGATTGAGTCTCGGCCCCAGTACCTAACCATGTGGCCGAACGACTCTTCAGACAAGGACTGGAGAGGTCAATGGATTTGGGTTAGGGCACCCACGGACCCAGGCCACCCTTGCGTCTTCAGCGCTCCCCGGTACCTTGCTGAGCCTGATCCCGACATGGGAAGCTTAGGTCCCCCCGCGGATGACGGCCCAGATCCGAACCTTAATCAACAGAATATCTTCAGCAAGCTGCCAAACCGGGGGGGCAGCGGCCGAATGCAACATATCCCGGAGACTTGGCTCCCCGATACGCATTATGTTTTCCAAGAGAACATGCTAGCAGCTGTCGGCCTCAGCCGAAAGTTTAAGGATGGTAAGCTTCTTCGGCTGGGGCCGAGGCCTTTTAATTATCTCTTTTTCTCCTCTTTCACTTCGCTTTTTTATGCTGTGCCAACCTAACTAAACTGACCTTTCCCCTTTTCTTTTTCAGAGCGGGAGGAGACCAACGTCGGCATTAACTACGCTCGTCTTGGCGTCAACCGAGAACGAGTTGTAACTGATCGGGCCCCCTCTATCACTGAACCGAGGCATAGAGAAGTTCATCTAGACTCTTCCCACTTCCAAATTGAGGCTGTTGCTCTGTATCAGAGGCAAAAGCCTTGGTGGAAGAAGAGAGATCCCTGGTTTCAGCATCTGGACGAAGAAGCTGAAGCTGCCCGTACGGCCGAAGAGGTTGCACGGGTTATTGAAGCTTGTGAAGGAGGAGAAGGGTCCTCCAGGGCTGCTGAAGAAGAAGCTGCAGCTAGGGCAACTGAAGAAGACGAGGCTTTGCTGAAGACCTCGGTGAGCTTTCAGACTTAATTTTGTCTGTTTCTGTTTATTGTTTTGTTGTTTTTTTTTTTTTTACTCACATTCTTCCTCCCCCCCTGTCTTTTACAGTCTAAAGAGAGTAATAGACACAGAGAAGGGAAAGCCCCTGTTCGTCCCGAAGACCAGATACAAGAAGAGTCCTCAGACTCAGACATGGATGAGCAGTCGCTTCAGAAAAGGCGCTGAAGAATGGCCATCATCGGCCCCCACGACTTTCAGCGGAGGCCGATGACCATCGGCGTCGAAATAAGGGAACCCGAGGAAGGCAATGGATCGCCGAGGGTTCCCCGGCCACCACCTCAATCACCTCCAAAGACCCCTCCGCCACCTCCCGAGATGGAGGTGGATAAGAAAACTCCCGAATCTAAGGGAGGGGTCCAAGAAGAAGTTCAAGAGAGTGCTGCTGAGCACAAGGATGAGGATCTCGTGATGCCCAGTGCTGAGGGTTTCACGGCAGACATTGCAAGAGAGGTCGAGGCCTTCGTCCTCACCCTTGAAGAAGAAGTAGTCATAATAATTGACTCTTCTGAGAAGAAGGAGGATGTTGAGCCATCCAAAGTTAAAGAAGCTCCATCGTCATCCTTTCCTTCCTTCCAGACTCTGCAATCTGGAGAAATGGGTTTCTTGGCCCCCCGAATTCCAATCCCAGATCACATCTGGGACCTCATATGGGGTCAGAACCGAGAAGGTGCTGCAGCCTACTTCGGCGATTTTGCTGGCATGTCCGAAGTAGATAGGGCAAGAATCTGGTCGCTGAAGGCCACTGCTGGGATGGGCGAATCCAGCAGATCAGTTCCTGACCCAGCCAGGTCTAACCAACTGCTGATGATGCAGGTGATTTTCCTTGCCTTTATCTCCTTTAAAATTCAGCTCTTTAATTATCATTATTATTATTTTTTATTTTAACTTGTGCTCCTGTTTTCAGTTCGTGCACAATTAGACTCTCACTGTAGAGCTGATAGATACCCTACAAGATAGGGTGGACGTTGCCGAGCACGACAAAAAGGTAGCCGAAGAGGAGTTAAAGCTTGCTAAGCTGAAGCAAGCAGCAGCTGAAGAGAAGCAGCAGAAGGGTGAAAAATATGAGAAAAAAGCTGCTGAAGCCCTCAAAACTTTCTGCGATGCTATGGAGAAGGAAGTTTTTCCCCCACTGATGGAAGGGGAAAAATTCCTCCAAGAGCACATGGGAGTGGACATCTCCAAATTCAAGGCTACCATTGAGAGCCGAATCCAGGAAGGAGCTGCTGCACAAGCTGAA